GCACCACAAGGGGCCTCCCCTGTAAATGGATGCTAAAATTGCGATGCTGTGGTCCGAAGTCACACCGGTACGGACTCCCGCTGCAGGCCAAAGCCCCCCGCAGCGAAAAACCTCGGTTTTTGCTGCGAGGCGCCCCGGGTCTGTCCCGGATTGTACCCGATCGCCGTCCCCCTCATGAACCCACTCGCTCGTGGGTACCGAGGGATCGCGTTGTAAAAAGACTGAGACAGGTCCCGATCTCCGANNGATCGATCGCCAGTGACTTGCCGCAGGCATCCAAAATCGACTCTGCTGAGCTAAGACGACCACATAATCGCCTGGCAAGCCTGCAAAAATGCGGATCAGACGGCAAATCTGCTAGGATGGTCATGGACCGCGCAATGGTCCCACAGCGAGGCTTCACTCTGATTTTAATGCCGTCCGGTCTCGCCACAACAATACCCTCAAGACCAGTGAATCAGCCCCGAGGAGGTTTGAAACTAGAGATGCTCCTCTGCATCCTTCCCCGAAACCTTGGTCCAAGACAGCGACTGCTGCGTCGATGGTGACGAAGAGGACGTAGACGAAGAAGAGGAATCCACATCCGAATCCCCGGCCAGCTCCACCTCCTCCGGCGATGGGACTGGCGGGGCCGGGGGCGCGACCTCAACCCTCGATTCAACACCCAGCAGCAGTCCGTAAAGGTCAGGGAGACGAAGGCGCAGAGCTTTAGCCGCCCAGCGAAGTGCTTTAAGAGCATTGGAAATGTGTACATCACCCCTATGTAGTGACAGTAAAATGTCTGCAATGTTGACCTGCTTCAAAGACCGAGCTCCAGCGCCAACTCTTCAGTAACCAAAAGAAATTTGTGCAAGCTTGCCAGATACCTCGTCAACGTATCAGAAGCCGAACTGGGCAGATTGCGAAGAAGCTGGTCCGCATTTAAAGATGATTCAAGCTCCCGTAATGCATCTGAAATCGGGAGAAAGCAAGAGGCTGATCGATGCCCATTGACGCCCCTGATGCAGGATACTGAACAGAATCCGAACCGCCGCATCAATTCTAATGCTGGACCTGCGAGAAGGTGCACCTACAAGGGGGGGGAGGGGGGGAGGGGGGGAGGGAGGGAGGGAGGGGGGGAGGGGGGAGGGGGGAGCCTGGACGTTTGCACCCTAGGCCCGTGACCTCCTTCGGTTTCCCTCCCTAGCCCCTCCCTCCCAGGTCTATTCGGCTGACCTTGGAACGCTGTGAGATGGCCTCGTGACCGGAACTACTTTCACCTGTCTTTCTGCCTAGAAAGACCTTTAGTTGCCAGAGCCTGCAGCCTTTGCAGACCTTCGGTACAGTCGTTCGCAGCCTCTGTGTCGACAGAAAGCAGTGCCTAGCGCTAAGAGCCTTCCCTTCAAAGTCAAGGGTACTACAGTTCTACCTTGGAACTTCGCCTTGTGCTCCTTAGCACTCAGGTAGTGGCCAAGCCTTTCTTTCTCACAAAGTCTAGATGGAGGGTTACTTTTTAGCCTAGACCCAGCCTCGAGGTCTAGACCCCTCCTTCTAGCTCCAAGCCTACACAGAAGCAACACGTCAAAAATCGAAGTCTTCAAGTGATAGAGCAGTGCGACCTAGAGAACCTATGTTTGCTGCCGCTGCCATGGACCGCTTCACCTGGCGACAGCTCGAGACACCGGGGTGTTTTCTTCGTTTTTCAGGGGCTGCAGTGGCTGCCAAGGACCAAGCCGCGGGAGGTTGTTGACGTTGGTTCGCTTTTCTCCGTGTAGGTGTTGTGCCCCCTTTTTTTGTCGCTCTCTTCTTCTTGCGTAGTTTATCCGTTGTCGCTTGCCCATTTTTTTGGAGTGCCGAATCAGCTGAAATCGTGCTTGGATCAGGCCTGGGTGGCAAGCAACTACCCCAAGCGCTTGCAGAGCCTGCAGGAACATCAGGCGGCTCCTGGATCAACCCTCTTGTGACTCTAAGATTCGCAAGTGACGCTTCGTGTGGCGCAAATCAAGCATGTGAGCCAGCAGCTTTATCATCGTCAGACGCTCCCCGCACTGTCTGTCTCTGACACTGCCTGAGGGTAGATTTCTGTAGCTGACTTATTCCTTTGTCAGATCTTCAGCGCCTTCGTTCGATGGTCTCTTGTCCACCTCCGGACTGTATCTAGGCCAGCGCGAGCTTCTTCAAGTCTTCACGAAAGCATGCAGTGGGTGCTTATGAACAGGTCTTCAGCTTCCAGTTTGAAGGCCACACACTGAAGTTTGGCACTTGCAGGCTTACTGCTGACTGTTGTCTGCTTGATTCCGTGTTGTGCGATGCCTTCTGCTAGTTGGCGCTCAGCTTCCAAAGCTGTGGACACAAATCATTGCGCCGTCCTCAACTGGGCAGAATGTCGCAAGTCAGTATGTGCTCCTATAAAAAGGCAGCAACCGCGACACCAGCTTGCCCAATTCGGGTTTTGGCGTTTAGTGTGAAAGGTTTAGGGTTTAGGCTTCCAGACTCCAGTCGCGTTTGCGTACGGTTCCTTTCGCGGCCAACTCGAGACCTTCTGTGAAGGCATCTGTGGAAGCAACCAGACACAAAGAGGGTGGGGCGTCGGCCTGAGCATTGCTGATGCATGCAAGCAGCTTTGTGCCTGTACTGCAAGTCTGCTTCAGATGCGTGCGAAAGCTGAGGATGGAGTTTTTCAGGCGCGTTGCGCTTCTCGAGCCTTGCACCCAGGGCTTGCCTGCGGGATTTGCTTCGGTTGGGCAGGTTCAGCTTCCTAGCTTGCATGGTGCGTCCTCCAAGAACAGCTCAAGCATCGAACCCTTCAGGAGTTTGATGCGAAGTCGGTCCCCCAGCTTGCTCCTCGTTTCTTTTGCTGCCGGCGCCAATGGAGGCTTCCAGCAGGCTTTTGCCCGGTCCCCGGGCTCTGGGGCTCTTCATTGCACGGCGCATGCGGCCATGTAGCCGCCAGCCCGCCCGGGCTTTAGCTTTGCAGTCCGAGCGGGCCCCAGGCTTCAAGCCACAAACTAGGGGCTTGAGGACATTTGGCTTTAAGGCAAACGGGTTGCAAGGTCTGGGGCATAAGGTTCTTAGGGCCTTTTTTATGCCGTCTCTGTGTTTCGACCCAGGCGCAAGTGATTCCCTGTTGATGCCAGACTGTAAGCTTGAGAACTTTCCTCCAGGTTTCAGATTAGCAACCAGCTTGAAATTGATTTGAGGCAGCCGCGGTAATTTGTAGGAAGCTCGGAAAGAAGTTTCTCCTAGATTAGGGTTCATCGTCATCGTGGTCGTGTGATCCCTTCTCTGTATCGCTCCGGTTGTCCTGTAAGTGTTTCCGCAATCACAAAACCCGAAGGCATGAACGCCCATTGAAGACCTCGATTTCGCGGTGCACCGCATGGTGCTGAGGCCGACTGCGTGCATACGACGCATCTTCGCTGCTTCAGCATGCCTGTTCAGATTGACGACTTGACGACTTGTTGTATGACATCATTACATGTCTAAATGTCTAAACAGTTAGGCACGGTTGCTCGAAAGAGGCTTCGCAGAATTGCCGTGTGTCGTCGGAACGTCGTGGTTTCGACAAGGCTGGCCTTTTCTGAGATTCGATGTGTGAGGCCAGGAGGACTGCGGCTGCGACTCGAAGATGCCGGGGCCGCGAAGGCGGGCCCTTGCCCGGTCTTGCAAAGGATGGAAGGAGGTCGTTCCTGAAGGTGACCTCCCCTACTCTCCGTCTCACAGTAGAAAAGAAGGCCAGAGATCCACACAGTAGTGCACGACCTGCGCAGGACGACGCGAGATGGATAGAACCGCCATCCCGACATCTCTTCAAGCGAGATCGCCGGAAGTGAAAGCATTACAGCCGTTCGGCACGTCAACCTAAAGCCAAGACGAAAGCACGCCTTTGAATCCCTTCTCTTCAGCTTCCCACCAAGTCCCAGGGTGCAGTGAAAGCGAGCGCACCAGGGAGTTGCCCTCTACTTGCCTCTGCTCAGACTCCGCGCATGAATCTGTGCTTTCCGTCGTTGTGCTGTGTCGTGTTGCGTGTCGAAGAGAACTCTTCGTGATGACAGTGACGGATGGAATTGATTTTGGGGTCAAATAGCTGGCGACATAGTCTCTCACTGCAGCTTTGGCGTTCGGCGCCTATAGAACCATGCCTCCTGCCCAATGGATAGGCATCATGACATTGGCTTGCCTCTTCCAGGGCGTTTGGCGAGATTGGCCCGAACTGCACACTGCCAGGCGGCTCGCAAAGCGAGATGTACCCCTGAGCGAGGCTGAAAAGAGTGTGGATGTTGATGCATACTCGGTCTCGGACCAGCAAAGAGACGATGGCAAGCCGAAGCAAGAGGCAGAGAAGGCGACGGAGCCTGGAGAGGGCAGCCACAAAGTGGACCCCAATCAAGGTAGAGATGAGCAGAAAGGCAAAGGAGGCACCGGGAAGAAGTCCATGCTTACGGATCTCATTGATCCCGCCACGCTCCAGCCGTACTACTTCATTCCCATCAGCAGCTGCGTTTTCATACTGCTACAGTCTGCGATCCTCGGTTTTGACGTACGACTGCAGCGAGACCAAGACGGAGATGGTTGGTACGGATGGTTGAAGGCAGGTGCAAAGAATGCTGGACTAGTTGCGTTCATCGGCATGGCCCTGGTAACTTGGTGGCGCGACACATCGGAATTTCTGGCGGCACCTACGGAGACCATTGCCGACAAGGTTTCGGCCGTGTTCGTGATTGGCTTCACGTCACCAAACATGAAGGCAGCATGGGGAGCGTTTGCCACAGTTTGGGCACAGTCACCAGCCAATGTGTTTCCTCGAAGCGCTTGTCACAGGAAGCCCAACTATGATACCATTCCATTGATAGGGGGCGGGCAGATACCGCTGCAGCCTTTCACGGCTGGTTGGATGCAGCCCCTCAAATGGGCGTATCTCATGGTGCTCCTGCCTTACCACTATTTGAGTGGGACGTTGTTCACTATTTGTGTTGGTTCATGTAAGTGTATCCAGGGCTGCTTCACGATCAAGTTCTTCTGCTTCGTGTTGAAAGCCGAGTGTTGCTGGCTTCTATGGCTTCTGCTCAGCGTGTGCAGCCTCGGGATCTGGTCGCACGCTAGGGAGAGTGCAGGCTTTTGGTGGCAGTCGATATGGCCGCTCTTGGTCACAGGTCTTCTGCAACTTTGGGCTGTGTTGGTTGGGGAAGTGGCTTTGGGCTGCTACGTGTGCTTCCTATCTCTGAGAGGCCAACTGGGAGGGATGACAATACCAGAAGCATTTATGGCACGAACCTTTTCAGATTTTGGAGATCTCGACCCCCAAGAGTTAGAGGAAATCTTCATGCTCCAGCCACCTTACCTCCGGGACGCGTTGCCGTACTCCCGTGCTCTCCCTCAAGATTCAGATCTCGAAAATGCCAAGACGGCAGACGACGCTCCCGGAGCACCAGCAGCGCCAGTCTCTCCCGAAACCTGCGCTCCAGGAGCATCAGTGACGTCTCTTGAAACGGCCACTCCGGAATCGCAGGGAGAAGGCTCTTCCGAGACGTCTCCAGGAGAAGCAGCCGGTTCTCAAGAAGCTACCCCTCCACAGTCCGCAGGTGCTGCCACTCCGGAGTCGGAGGTAGCAGGATGCCCCGAGACCACTCCAGCAGGAGCGAATTCTCACGAAGCTGACGCTCCAGATGCGGAGCCAGCAGGCTCTGCTGAGACGGACAAGCCCAGCTTCTATTCGGGGGAGAAGGTCCGCGCAGTGCTCAGGATTCGATGGGTCGCCGTGGCGATCCATTCTCAACTGAACTTGGTTTTCACTCAGATTTCCGTCATTCTGCAGGCCAGAATGTTTCTGGAATGCAGCACTGCTCAGGACGTTATTGATGCCTACAAGACAACGGTTTCGGAACGTCAGATCGCCACCTATGTCCACTACTTGGTCACTTTGGCCGAATCGACACACCAATTGGTCAACGCACCAATTTGTCGTCTTTTCTACACAATCTGGAATCTGCTCTGAACATGCAGATTTCCTGTTCCTAGGACGCGTTTCTGCGCCTGGCGTTTCTCTCTTACTGCCCGTCCGGCCGAAGAGCGGCATAGCTGCACTCTGTGCTGCCGGGCTTTCCTCTCCTCGGTGGGAGTTTACTCCACGTGCCTTAAGGGACACGCTTTTCCCACCTCAGCACTCTTTGTTTTCTCAACTGCTGGCTGCCGAGGTGCGTGGCGAACCGCTGCGCGTTTCTGCCAAGGAAAACAGCTGCCTGCCCTTCATGTCTGCGGAATTCAAGCCTGAGCCTTTGTTGCCCCATGGCCCCTGCATAGCCCTTTGCGGAGGCTTTGGCTTGGCTGCAGCCGGCGGAAAACGTGGAGCCCAGGAGGCCTTGAGCTGATGGACGGACTTGCAATGCTTCCGTGCCAAAGCAACGACGCAGGTAGCGCCCGAGAGACAGGCCCTTCCTAAACCTTCAACCGCCCCAATCCTATTAAACCCTAAACCCGAAACCCTAAACCCTATACCCTAAACCCAGTACCCAACCTTAAACCCTAAACTCTTAGGCTTCGGAAAGTTCCGCAGCGCCGAGAGAGGAGGCGGCCGCGGCCTTGGCTGATGCTTCGCGTCTCTCGAAAGTGGCATCACCGCGCTCTCTCGAGTCCGACTCGTCTCAGCGTGTAGGTGGCATTTGTCCTCATGTAAAGGCTGTGGCTGGTGTGATTCACCATCATCCAAGAAACCATTTTTTTGGTTACAGTAGGAACTGTGGCAGTTGTGCATGCTGTTTGAATCTTGTCACACCTAAAACGCAAGTCTCTGAAGCATGAGTGCTGGTTCTCTTATGAGGCTTTGCGACTCTCACTCATGTGTCATTTCACTCTTCCAGCAGGCTTCCAATCCCAGAATGCAAAACTTGCTGCGGTTCTCATTTGGAGAAAGGGGTTTCCTTGGAGTTTGGAGTTTGAGATTCTTTCAGAGTTACCACCAGAGAGGTCACGCCGGCGCAATTCCTAATGTGCAGAGAAACCCATCTTTTTCTTCTGACCTAGTGGCCTCTGTGCTGGTCCGCCGCGTCGTTTGAGGCTGTGGCGCCATGCATCTGCGACAACTCTGCGATTGACGCTTGTCAGCGTGACTGTCACCTTACCAGAGGGGACTAGACTGCTGCAAGACAGTTTACAAGGCGGCGCAGAGAGAGACTCTTTCTTGGACGGTTGGAGAAGCCGCTCGTCTACAGACAGGCAGGCTGTGAACTCCGGTTGAAATAGAGCTTCAACAGTAGTGCGTGCACTGAATGAAGGTGGTGTCTTCATTGCTTCGCTTGCAAAGTGGACTGCAAAATTTGTAAACTACCACGGTAACAGCACAGCAGACATGTTTTTGAGTCTGTAGCTAAGAGATTGGTTCGGCTGTGCGCCGCTCCACGCGCCATGCCTCTGAAAAGGTCTGCTACGGTCTGGAGCGGCGCAGCTGTTGCCGGGTGGAGTTCTGCAAAATTTTTTTGAATCACACATAAACGTCTTCTCCGACAAGAAGGCAAACTACTCTGCAATAAAAATGGAAACGCACTTCTTTGACCAAATCAGAATCTTGATCTTATTCAAGGTCCCACTCTCACTCTTGGAACCTGACTTTGGGGCAGCTTTCGGCTGAGCCGCGGAGTTTTGAGAGAATGGTTCTTTGGGAAACGGACAGTCTGGTCTAACATGATCTTCGGCACTGCAGTTGTAGCCATGCACTTGTCGCCAAATATTCTTCCGAATGTCACTTCTTCAGAAACCTCAACTCCAGCTTGCAAGGCTTGTAGAGGTGCAAGCCAGCCACGGCCTGAGCAGGACAGAGGCCTCTCTAGCTGGGCCAAACAGCGAGAGGGCCATCTCAGCTTCCCGCGGTTTCACAGAACGCTGGACGGGCTATTGCGCGAACAAAAGAGCTGCAGACCAGGCCGATTTAGCAGTCTTCGCAAACTTTTCACAGAAGGTCAGATAAGAGCCAGACTTTTTGAGCACAGCTGGAAATTGTCTATATGTGATTTTCGAACTTTTCTTCGCTTTTGGTTCTTCTTCTGCAGGAAGCCTGAAGCTTTCTGCAATCCGTTTTCTCAAAGAGCCTAAAAGTGTGTACCTCTGTTGCATCGCACGAGTCAGCTGCTCTGTCTCAGCACAATCTCCAAAGGTCGAGCCGCCATGGATGTTGGCCTGATGACGTAATGCGTGAAATCAACCAATATCATTTTGCTTCTCTTTTACACTGCTTGTTGCTGATAGACAGCTCGCCGCAAAAGAAGTTCGATTGAATTGGAAGTGTCACATTCTCCGGCTAAAACGTGCGAAAATCATGGATGCTGTCTCAGAGCTTGCTCGTGCCAAAGCTTCTTATGAGGGCAATGCAGGCTTAGCACCTTCTAACACATCGGCTTCGCAAGGAACTTTGGACATGCTCTTGAACAGCAAGGCACTTTGGACGCCGCCTTGCTTCGATCATCTGCCCACCTCTTGCCATAGATTCTCAGTCTGGTGACCTTTGCTGCACAGCTTGCTTTTTGAAGGAGAACTTGTTCTCAAGCTTCAAGACGCTAGTGAGTGCGAGGTCTGTTCCACCGATGTCGGTGTGGAATGAAAGAATTGTTTGACTACATGGTCAATGTAGACTTCAATCGAGAAGATGAGGAAAGCATCCTGAGCATGGTGTATTGTCAGTTTCTTCTTGCTGCAAATTGAGCCAAAAAAGAGAGCTTCTCGCGTCATTCCTGGTGCTTGTACCAAGCATTTCTCTTTCATTGGTTCATCTTGCCGTTTGAGTGATTTTGGTGCGTGTTTTGTCTTTGTTCCAATCTTTTCAATAGTCTTGTATGTCTGTTAATGTGTGTTTGCGCTCTCTAATCTTGCACTGGGTTTGGTTTTGCTGAAAGAAGTCAGATTTTGCCCACCTCTGCATCGGAAATCAATTCTCAACCTGTGGGGACTCCAGACTTGCCGCTGGAATTGGTGAAACACATCAACTTGACCGTTTTTGAAGCAAAGATGACCTTGTTTAGAGGTTTTTTCTGCGTGACATGGTCATCTTGGTACTGTCGCCTGCGGATTTTATGCAATGTAGATAAGACCAATGTGGCTCGTCAACTGGCACGAAAAAAATTGTGTATGTGAGGCAGACACTTCATGAAATTGATCATCTGTGATTGCAAAACGGGATTTTCCTGCTTTGGGACTGATTCTCAACATCGAGAATGCATTGTACTTCGGGTGCAACATTGTTAGCATGCCATTGGGTTCAGAGTCCATGCCATGTAGATATGTGATGTCATTGATGAATTTGCATGATGTTGGCCACACCAGGTAATGCAAGCATGCCGGTGTCAAAGGCGTGTTACACAGTGGAAATTTGGACTTCAAACACATGTTCACCAATGTTGGCAAGACAGTCTAGTCACCTTTGGTGCTTAAGGTTTTTGCAGATTTCTGGTTCCGTGAGCCGTCCCCATGTGCACGGCCTCGTCGACCATTCATCTGGCCCAGCGTGAGAAGAATCATGCAGGAGCAAGGCCAGGCAAGGTTGTGGTCACGGCGCTCCGTTCTGTTTGTTGAGTTTCAAGACCTTGTTGTCGTTGTCGTTGATACATTTGTCGGCCTCATTGTGTGCGGTTCCTCGAAAACAAAAACCATCGCCTGCCGTCCACACGATTTCTGCAGGTATGAAGGTGAAGTTTCGATTGCTTCTGGTCAGCGAGAAGGCAAGGCCCACACAACAAACTGCCTGTGTTGCAGTGGCATTTGTTGCATCCATGAAGGGTAGCATGTGCGAAGTCATCAGGCTGTTGTAGCTGCGACAGTTCAGCTATGACGGTTTGAGGTTTGCTCTGGCTTGAACATTTGCTCAGATGTCAGGCCGAGGGACGTATTACTACACCAACCCGTACTTTGTGTATGAAGGCACGTCATCTGAGGGCCAGATTGGGTATTTGTACAGATGTTTGCATGAGTTTTAGCAGCTGTCGACCCGGCCGGGGGTCGATTTTTCAAAACGGCACAGTACATTTCGCAAGTCGAATCGTGCAGTCGTCCAGAGTGTGGCAAGACAGCTTGTTCAAGTCGTCTCGTCGGCCAGTGTTGTGCTTGATTTTGGAGAATCCTCAGTTGTACTGCTCCGCTCTGTAGCGGGAAGCGTGTCACAGGTGAATGGCTCGATGGCAAGAAGCATGGTCAGGCAAGTTTCAACACAAGCCCGAGCGGACTCTATTGCTTCTCGTCCATGACAGGGTCGACTGACCTTCGGAGAGGACGGCTTCTACGAAGGTTGCTTCGAGGCTGCAGAAGTTTCAATCATGTGATGCTGCACTGCAATGGAGCTCCGCAGCGGTAGTCTGCATGTGAAGTCCGCATAAGTCCGCTGTCGGCAATCCGATGCTGGGCTCTTGTTTAAGAACCTTGGGTTGAGGTACCACTAGGGGTGGGTGAGTTTGCGTGTGTGTATAAGCACATACACATATACAGAGATTGAATCATTCGTTTCTTCCGTAATGACCTATCTGAAGCAGCAGCTCTTCAACAAGAGCGCGCACTTCTATCCGGTTCCGCAGGCCGGAGAGATCTCTGGCTCTGGTCGGCACGAGCTCCACGGCAACGTCTATGTCGGGGACTTCTTGGCAGGCATGCTTTAGGGTTCAGGGTTTAGGGTTTAAGGTTTGGGGTGTAGGGTTTAGCATGATACTTGTTGGTTGTGCTCGTTTGACGAATACAGGGGCCAGTCGGGAAGCATCGGGTCTCTGCCTGGGGCGACCTTCATCTTGGGAGACCTATGCGCCTAACGCGTTTGGTGACCAGGCCGTGAAGTCCACAGCCAGCTTTCCATGTTGCGAAGCCTTGCAGAAGCGATCCGGAACAAGCAACAATCACGTGGGCTTGGGGTCACGGGATAGAGGAATCTAGGGGTGTATGGTGATGGTCCTTGTCTGTTCTGCAGGCCAGAAGCACGGCCAGGGTGTGCTGAACAAGACCGACGGCACCCAGTACACTGGCAGCTGGGCCCATGTGGGGCTCTTATGGTGCATCCCGCTTTGGAATCCCGTGGAAAGTAGACGCCCCAAGACCTCCGATGGAATCCAACAGTCTAGAGCCCCTTAGCACGAGACAGAATGTTCCTTTGATCGGGTCTTCACCTTGAAGTTGTCAAGTTGCGGTTTGACTGGGGTTCTTTTCCCGCCTCAGAGACTCCTGCTGTTCTCTCTGTCAGAGGCTTCTTATGTGCGACTTTTAGACCTTTACGAGATGAATAGTACAATGGATATAGTAGAGAACAAACATAGCCTTATGTGACACAGTACATTTTTATACAAGACTGAGATTCTTTCCAGTGAAAGTCGATCACAGGGCCGAGGCCGATAAACTTTCGTACAGTTGTCCTCAGTTTCTTCAAACCTGGAAATCACTGCCTTAAGCACGGACGCCTCCACGCTCAGGGTCTCTATTCCGGCGAGGGCACCTTGTCCTTGCCTAGTGGAGAGAGGCTCGCTGCCTCATGTGTTTTCGCCCGTTGGTTTGAACAGTTCAGACGGATAGCTCAATTAGGTGTCGGTTGCGAGAGATCCCTCTTGACCTCCATGATACCTTAGCCGCGGGATACCTGGTAAACTGGCAGGTATGTTGGTGGCTTCAGAGCACACAAATTCCACGGACGTGGGGTTCATGACCAGCCGAGCAAGGCCACCAGCATGCCAGCGATATGTCAAGAAACGAGTGTAGAGGCAGTCTTAGCAATAATCTAGTAACAGCATTGCTACATAGTATTTGCTTGACTATGACGTTTCACATTCTTAAAGCCGTGGATGTCCATCTCTGGCTTCCAACGCTTCTTAAACTCAGGGGACCCTTCATGAGGCCTGTCGCAATAGAATTACCAGGCAATGCACTACGAGGGCCATTTCGAAGTTGGCCTTCGCCACGGTTATGGGGAGCTCCAGGACGGCTCCGGAACAAGGATGTACACAGAGATTTGTTTTGATAGCCACGATGGTAAGAAACCAGGTTTGTATTGCATACGAATCGGCACATCCTCCAGTCAAAAGGCTCTTCAGAAGGAGGTATACGGACTTTGTAGTCTGCACGCAACTTGGATGTTGCAAAGTGTGTTCTAGATAAAACTGTGCGTGGCTGTGGTGTTGCATTACGAGTCCAGCGTACTGCTTACCGCTTGATGCAACAAGAGGGTGCTTCATCTGATTTGCTACCTTTCGTGCACCTTGGTCGACCCGGGAAACACAATGCTGCTAAACATGCGTATGTTAATGCTGGTAGGTCCGGTAGGTGAGAGATACTTTTCGGAATAATTTCAATAAAGCCTTTGAATTACTTAGCTGCGATGAACTGTGCCAGCAACAACCCCACCTTTCCTTCATGTTTCGTGTCGTGCGCAGGTCAAGCCGAGCAATGGTCTAATCACGCATCGAATCTCTTTAGACGAGAAGTGAGGAGAAATGTGCATGATTTTTGTAATTGTCTATGCATGTGCAATGAAGCTGACAAGGTTGCTTGGGTAAAAACCATGTGATGATCGTGATAATTAATGCTCACAGGAGAAGAGCCTTGACTCTCTCCCTCTCTCTTTCTCGCTCTGTCGATGTACATGCAAAATGCCAGTCAAAGGGTTGGGGGTTTCGAGTCGAGCGTGCCCGGGCTGACACCGCTGTGTTTGTGGACCCAGCATGCCGTCCTCAAATCGGGCCAGTTCAAGTTGTCAGGAGAGGGACGGAGCCTCCACTTACGTCGGAGATTTCCAGGCTACGATGGAGGGCTCCAGGGCTCCAGGGTTTCCATTTCTGCGTTCCGGGCATCGTTTTGTTGGGTCCGGACTCGGGGTCCAAAGGATGCTCAGAATCCGGCTCTATGCTCTCATGGAGCCTTTGTTGGACCTGATCATCTCACCAGGGCGGGTGCTGCTTTCAAGGGTATGGTCGGCAACGCAAAGCGCGGGAACAGCAAAAGCTGGCAGAAACTCTGCCTTCCATCTGTAGCTTCGCGCAGTTTCGCATGATGGATTTAGCGTGTGTGTATTAATGCTACGCCTGACATGGCGGGGCTGCCAAACAAGGGAACCTGTCAGAAAGGGGTGGATGTGAAGTACACTTTTCTGTTGCGCCCCCGAGTGGTTTAAAGTCCATGGCTTCCAAAGCAGCCCAACCTCACCAGTGCCTCGACTGAAAACAGCCGGTTTGGAGGCTGGTCGGCGGCACGGTGTGGGCAAGGCCTGTGATCAGGCCGGCCGCAGATCCTGCACTTGCAGTCCTTGACGTTCCTGCGATCGGGCAAGAGACTGGAGCGCATCCAAGAAGCGCCTTCGAAATTGGGCATGAGCCAGTCGTAGTTATTCGGAAGAATCCTGAAGGTCAGCGGAATCTCCTACGAGGGTCCATGGGTGGAGGCGCGCTGGCAGTCGAGTGCAGAGACAGTGGTAAGAAGCTTCAGACCCGCCTCAGCCGCACCTTTAAAAGAACCCTTAAATGGGACCCCATTGTACAACTCCAGGCCTAATTGTGGAACCCTATCGTACCCTTGAAAGAAACCTGTAAAACAACCCTAAAGGGAGCCCTAAAAGGAACCCTAAAAGGAGCCTCAAAGGAGGCCCGTAAAGGAACCCTTCAAGGGCTATGACTCAAATTGCAGCGAAGGACCAACCCGAGTGTCCAGCGGCTGCATGGGATCTTTGTCCCGTCGATGCCGAGGCCCTGTTGACGGACTTCATGGCACTTGGGCTGAATGAACCCTATAGAATCTTAAAATCGGGAATTACGGAATTACTGGCTCTGAGGTTTGAAGCCTTTTGGCCACGCAGCTGTGCCATATGAGATGGCTGGAACTTGCTGAGTGCGCAAGTAGCTACCATTCTCAATCCCTTGTGTATTACCTATACAACATATATATCTACATATATACATATTGCTGTGTATATGTATTTGTGTATGTGTATGTATATGTATATGTATATGTATATGTATATGTATATGTATATGTATATGTATATGTATATGTATATGTATATGTATATGTATATGTATATGTATATGTATGCATACATACATACATACATACATACATATATATATATAACATAATTTAATATGTGTTAACAAAAAAAATATATATATATATATCTAAAACTGTATCTATATCCATATCTATATTTGTTGCTATATCCATATCTGTATCTATATGTATGTGTATATGTTTGTGTATATGTATATGTATATGTATATGTATATGTATATGCACATGTATATGAGTATGTGTATGTATGTATGTATGTATGTATGTATAGAGTCATGACGGAGGAGTCGTACCTGGCAGTGGCGGAGCTTCTGAAGGAAGAGGCTCTCGGAGGGAGCGTTTGGCATATCTGAACAGCACAACTAGTGTTTCGGGTAGAGTTTGGGGTTCCGGGTTTAGAGTTTAGGGCTCAGTGCTAAGAGTTCCCTACGTATCAGTCGTCACAACGTGCAGTACACTTTTCTGATGCATCGGCCGAGCAACAGGCAAGGGGCCACAATGAGCATCCAGGGTTCAGGATCCCGAGGACTTATGGTTGTTTACGATCTGCGCTATGGTATTTCAAGTTTAGGGTATGGTATGCCCTAAATCCTAAACCCTTTCATGTTTAGGCCTTAAGGGTTCATGGTTTAGGTTAAACAGCTTCCTATGGCCTGGCGACTTGGCCAGGCGGCTAACCAGCTGGCGGCGTCCAACCCCAAGGACAAAAAGAAGGCAGTTATGTCAGGGTTTATAGAAATTGTGTAGGGTTCGGCCGGTTTTGCCGGTTTTGAGTTTAGGGCTTTTGGGTTTGGGGTTGAGGGTTTGCCAGAAGCTCTTGAGTGTCTCCAATGCAACCGCCCACGTCCTTTTCCTTTGTGTGCTAACTGTTGTTCAGCACCATTCCAACACGTCCTTTGTGCCAGCTTCTCATTCCACATACTTTGTGAACAGCAAAGTCGACTGTATGTTGAGATGCAAGAAAACTAGCGAACTTTAAAGCAGTTCCAAGGGTCCTTTCCTTCCTTCCAGCAGTGCATCTCGACGTTCTTCGAAACAGAAGCCTCTCTTGTTCTCAGTGGGTAATGGGGGAATGGCTCCCTAATGTAGCGGTCCCTTATAGTAGTCCCTGTAACTCATTCCCCCATTCCCTTCCAAGAACCACCGGGAGTAAGTCCCCTCGCTTTGACACCAGGGCAAGCCGCCCCCCCCGGTCGACACCACGGGTGCTGGGCCGGAGCTCAAGGGCCTCAAGGGCCAGGCGACGTGCTCATGAGCCCCTACGCAGGGTTTAGGGTTTAGTAATAATTAGTGGTAAATAGAGTCACACCTGTAGTAATAGTAGATGACAGTATGTGCCTGAATGTACCAAAACCATACTGAGGGTCCTTTTTTGCGTTTTAGGGGTGTGTATTCCTTGATGAGGCCTTGTGCTGGCGGTCGCGGAGGTTTTTTCTTCTGCGCACGCTTCGCCAAGTTCCATCACTTCTAAACTAACAGCGCCAAGTGCTGTCCCTGTGCTTTTCGGAATGACTTTGGGCATTCGGACTCGAGCTTCGGTCAACTAGCTGCGTGGCCTGGTTCCGAATCCGAAGTCTTTTCCGTGCTCTGCGGCTCCGAGTCGGAAACTGTACCGCTTCACAGCAGTGGTAGGTTTGAGGGTTTGGGGTGTAGTGTCCCTCCCGCATCGCCGCCCCCCCTAAACTCCAACTGTTTCTCGCCGTAGGCCCTGCCAGAAACCGTGGTGCGCTTGGTGGATGCCAGCAAGGCGATGGTTGAACGCGATTTCGGTGTCTGCGGCTTTGGTTTCGTGCTTTGGTGTTTAGTGTTTAGGGGTTGGGGTGGTAATGACAATAATAGCATTAATGGTAGTCATCGTAACAGTAGTAACATTAGTGAAAACATGAATAACAATAAGACTAGTCGTATTAATAATAGAGATGGTGCTATCAAGAAACATGATAGCAATCACCAGTCTAACAGGCATACTGTGCAGCTTCTAGGGCTGGCTGAAGGAAGCCTCTTGAACGCCGCTGCTCGGGCCGTCTGCCCCCCAAATTCCCAGTTTTCTGACGCTTTTCGGACAAGCTTCTTGACATGGTTTTCCCACTAAACAAGGTGATGAAAGCTTGAGCTGCGAACGGAAAGGAAGCTGTGCAAGCTCCAAGATACCCCAAACTTTGAATCCTAAAACCTTCGAGCCACGAAGTCGCAAGCAGTCAGAAACTCGCAAAACGAAGGCCTCAAACACCAAACCCTGGAGCAGCGACACAATCCGAAGATACCACCTGTGGTACTATAGCAAGCAATGCTACAGCATCCATGTCCTGACACTGATGTAGTCCTTGCTACATCATCATATATTATACTATAGTGTATTTTGTGTTATCATATAGTGTTATATAGTATAGTCTCATATATTATATTATATTGATTTAAAACATATTATTTATTATATGCAAATCTTTTAACAGCATATGTTATACTATATTATATAACTCTGTGTGTGTATGTATATATATATATGTATATATATATATATGTATGTATATATACACACATACGTACGTACGTAGGTATGTCTGTCTCTGTACGTATGTACGTATTTACGTATGTACGTGTGTGTGTGTGTATGCATGTATGCACGCATGCATGCATGCATGCGTGTATGCATGTATGTATGTTTGTATGTATGTATTCTATTTGATTTGCGATTATACTGTACTTTTGACATTCAATATGTATATATACATGTCATGGGTATAGTTTTATATGCTCTTTTACTACTTCTGTCACTATTCCGATGTCAGCTATGAGTCGCTATGAAGACATGCGGGTACAAGTAATAGGATGGATGGTGCAATGATTATGCACTACTGATTTGGGGGTTCACGATCAGAACAGTTCTGTCAGGCCGTTGTTCCTGCAGAAGTCGGAAGGCGTTTCCGCATTACCATGTACAAGGAGACAATCATGTACCCGCCATGCAGTGCGATTCAGCAGTTGTCCTAGCACAAGCTCAGCCTGTGGTTTGTGTGTGGCGTTTTCTTGATTTTGATCTCGCGCAAGAGCTCGAAGTCTGGCGGCAGTGACTCTCCTCGGCTTCTGGCTTGGTGCTCCAGCGACCGGCAGGAGCGCAGGGGTTCGGAGGATCCAGAAGAAGTTCTGCGAAGGTTCGCGCTCTTCCGTACTGTGCGATAGATATGGTGTCGCTGTCATGCTTAAGCTATGACAGCTATGATTCCTCTCAACGAAGCCAAGAACAGCCCATCGAAGCTGCAAAGTCACAGAGCCGGTGCTGAAGCTCTGAACCTGTGTGTTTTAGAAGCATCATCTTGAACAGCAATCCCGAATCCTTCACCCAATCAAGTTGGCATTCTACCAGGCCAGTAAATTTCGGCGACCTGAGGCAGACGTGCCTTGGACGATTTGGGCCAGTATTCGGATATCCAGCTGCTGATCGGTACTTGATCTCTCTTCTCCTTCTCACTGCATTTCTTTACTGTACACAGCAGCAGCAGGGATGATAGTAGTCGTCGTCGAAGTAGTACTATTAACTATTACTGGTAACTTCTGCTGCCATACCGCTGCCAGCACTATTCTAGGCTGTCACCTCACTCCTGCTACGGTTGTGATGGCTCGCATGTGTAAGTCACTAGTACCGTACGATGGTGAATGCGGATGTGCTCGCATCATGACCATTGTGATAACGTTGAGTCTTGTTGTTTTGCATCGTACCAAGCGTAGGATTCTATGTGACCATGTACAGTCATCATGTTGGTCACACCGCGACTGTTGAACTCAAGCTCTCTGAATGGAAAAGGATAGTTGCCTATTGCTCATGGCTTAACGGCGTACCCTGTGGATGCTACAGGTTATCAGCCGTATCTGCTACAAACTGGTCTATTTTATCTGTGGTACATGAGCGACCGATAAAAATCAGTGATACCCACTGAAGTGGCTACAATATCAGTCATGTCAGATGAAGGATTGGGTATAAAAGATGGTGGTGGTAGGTACAGTGCTTGGGGCTCTACACGGCAATTCAGCAATGCCGGACTTAAATGCCTTGACCTCAGCTGCGCCGTCGCTAGAGGGTATCTTTAACCCGGCGAACATATCACAATCTGTGTCACTTACCAACAGTACATTCAGGTAGGAGAAACAGCAGACCAGGCTAGAGCCGCGGTTGAGCAGACCGAAGCCGAACCAACGAAGACAGAGGGGCTATGGACAGCAGCAGGCATTCATCGCATCCATGGAAATACAGCATATGGAAGCCCAAGCTGAAAGAGTTCACGAGGACAGGATGGCTGAAATGCAAAGCTGAAATCAAACAAGCTTCCCAAAGGGGAAAGCTTTTGTTGAGTGAAATGTCCGCATGCCACAAAAAAATGCAGAACATGGAACTCACTTGTTCAACATCGTCACCAATCAGAAATGACAAGACTTGGAACTAATCTGGTCGAAGACGGTGAACGAAACAAAGCCGAGGCTCTCGACTCTTTGGGTCTCCGTTTTAAACAGGTTCTTAATGAAACAGAAGAATCATTGCATGCAGCTTTTAACGAAAGGCTACAGGATGAACTGGCTGCAGCAGAAAGAGCAGTCCGAATGGAGAAGCTAAAGGCTTTGGCACAAGGCAACCTGGGCCTCCGAGCAGGTGGCCCATTCCTCCCATTCCTCGTCACCGCCGCCATGGCTTTTAAGCTGTACTGCCGCTGAATGCGGCCGGATTGACATTATCGACCACTTGATTGACATCATCTTTCACAAGATTGCCAATATCTGCTGTGTCAGGGACTGCCTCATTTCCTGCTGGTCATTCGAGGTCACTATGCCACTATGTCAACTGCTCCTTTGCTATGCATATCTTCTGATTGACTGGAGCTTAGGGGTGCTCCTTTCGTCGTTTACTCCAACGGCTAGAAGGATTGCCAAGCCTGGGTTTCTATGATCTACGCATTGTTTGCGTTTCTCCAGATGATATGTCCTTGGCTGCTTTTGACAAGCATCTCCAACCTGCAGGGCCACACATCGACATGACAAGAACAGCGTTGCTGCATACAGGTTGCCTTTTTGGCCACCAGGCTCCACTGCCAAAGATGGGTTTTCTCCAGCTTGGAGCTTAGGGCGGCTCCACTACCATTCTGGAAGACCATATCTCCTTTGGTTGTTATTTGTCTTATCGTTGTGGGAGTTCACATCTACTCTGCCGCAACGGGCCATCGACATGGCTCGACCTGGATGTAGCTGTCGACTGCTGTTTGCAATGCACTCCAAGCTTTCATTGCCTACGGAGTGTTGCCGCCAGCGGCGAGCCGGCGCGACCACTCTCACCATGGCTTTGCTCTTTTGTGTTTCGGCGTCCTCCTGTACTGAGATTCTGATGAGCGGTGACGAATCCTGTAGTGCGTCGGGGGGAATTTGCTCCACAAGTTGTAAGCCTCATTAGGTGCGCTGAATTGTTTTATGTTCGTCCAAGGCCGAAAGCTCGAAAACTAACACTAGTCCGGCTCTTGCCCCCCCGAAAAGGGTAACTAATATAGTCCACAATTGCTCAGCTTTTTTGTCTACTCCTTCCTGTTTTTTTCTCCTTCCACCCGCAGGGTGGTAGAAGTCGCTCCAGTTTGTTTGGTTTTTAACTGTATATAGGCGTTCTCCGACCTTTGGCGGGCTGCTGACAGGCGGTCCTTAGCATGGACTCGCTTTGCGCTAGCAAAAGAGAAAAAACCGCTCCTAAAGAGCAGGCCGCCCCGCCAGTGCCAGAGCCTCAGCCTAGGGACACGTTCTTTAACCCCGCACGAAATCCCTGAAAGCTTGCGTCATTTGTTTTCTAACAAAGTCAATCAATACAGTTGCACCCGGTTTCGAAGGTATCCCAAAAACTCAAAGTTCTTCGACTGGCGAAAAGAACGACATGAATGGGGTCCCGCCTGCTGAGCCGGGGAACACACCGGAGATTGATGCCGCAGTTCTCCTGCAGGCCGCGATGTAAATGATTGCAAAGCCTGACATGGAGAACAAACCCAAAGTTAAGGAAGCGGAAAGCATCAAGCTCCCAGACTACCCGAACCCGGAAACCTAGCGATCCTGGAAGATATCGGTCAGAGAAACGGTTCGCGCTGCAAGCGACCGACCAGACGAGGCCTTCCGCGATGGGTTCAGCAGGTTTATTCAATGGACGTTATGTGACTTCGCTCCACGACACCGGTGAGTTTCTCACGCTTGGCCCTAAGTTGTTGGCTGCTTTAACACGTGTCGCGAGAGGGGAAGTCTCTAGACAAGTGCTGAACTTCAGAGAAACCGAAACTACTGCTGGTCGAGCTGGGGAAAGACGTTTACAGAGATAGCGGCGAAGATTCAGGTGTTGGTCGAGCAGACCATCATACGTTATGGCCTCGGTGACCACGAGCTCTTCATCGCTTGTCGGCCGCCGCGAGTGTTCCTGAAGGGCTCGCCGTGCATGATATGATTGTACTTGCGTGGTGTGTCCTTTCGCGAATAGCAGCTATCAAAGCGGACCCTTCCCACTTTGCACCCAACTGCAGCGAGAGTTTCCATTCGATTTCCGGGGACGCTATTTGGTAGACCCTCGTCATATTATGGAATCGGTTCGCTAGTTGGCGAGAGCAAAGCCCGGGCGCTGAGCCCGTGGAAGGTGTGGCCCATGATCCCGAGGAACCAGACCCATGGGAAGACCAGTATTTCGAGGAGCGCCGCGAGAAAGTGCGGGCAGCAATGCCACAGCTCGATATCTCCGACGTTGCAAAGCCATGCAAGTTCATCAGGTCACGCAAGTCGACGATTTAAAGTCGGATGAGGTCGAAGCCGGAGTTCTGAAACAAGCCCCTCGTAAAGAGGAGGCCGCGTCTCATCATCGGGCGTATAACAACCACTACAACGCTAGCCCGTCGAAAGACGAGGCCGAGCCAACCAAAAGGACATAACCCTGGCTTGGCAAAGCCCAAGATCGACGTCGGCGTGAGGAATTTCCTCACTTGTTTGTGATTCGGCGCAATGTCATCGACAAGGGAGAGAAGTTTCGCTTCCGGTCGCGGGATGGCCCCTGAATCTTGGCGATTAAAGTCTTGGAGGTCGTTAACCGAGAGAAAGGGACCAAGCTTGGCCTGGGGACGCTGCTCGAGATGAGTTTTCACGACTTCAGACACTCAGGGACGCTTATGCGCAGCGGCTTACACCGTTGCTCAGCCCGCCTTCATCGTGTACGCCCGATGCGTCCATGGACACCACGAGAACTTGGTTTGCACCGTCGATCCCGAAGAAATCGCAGTGGGCTGGATCTCGTCGTTTACTTCGGATGAGATTGTCGAAAAGGACGTTGCCCTCCGAGAGGAGAGGCCGATCATCCCTGTGAATCCACAAGGCGGCCAACTGTTTGTATCATCGGACCATCCACGACGCTGCGTTTTCTATCCTGGAGGATGCTATGTTTCGAGGGCACGGGAAGGATCACTGCTACTTCTCAGGAGGTCCATTTGAGGACGAGAAGGTGGAGTCAGGTGTTCACGCCAAGTTGCCCGTCGAGATTGTTGTTGACACTAAAGGGATGCTCGAGGCAGGATGTGAGATTTTCATGACGGAATCAGAAGGGTTCCTCACGGCCAGCATGTGCTTGGCAACACAATCCTGTTCACCTGTGGCGACGTCAAGGATCTTAGTCTCTGGTCGCGAACAGGGGGGGCCTACGCCGCAGATTATTATGGTCAAGGCGATGAAAGCCCGGCGAGAGCCGAGGCCGATGAACCCATCGACATCGTTTTGGGCCAAGGAAGCTCTTCTGCTGACGCGCCAACTGATGATCCACAACAGCCCCCGCTTCCTGCTGCAACCGAAGGAACCCTGGCTATTCTCGATGCGGTCCCGCCGATTGAAGTCGACTTGAAGGAACCTGAACGGGAAAGGAATGCCACCGATGAGTCAATGCCCTCCGTAACGGAGGGGCCGACAGTCGATGATGGCACGCTGATTACCCCAAGCAACCTTACCGCGACGACTTCCTACATCAGCAATACAACTGCTACACATGTGGTGAATGATGTTGATGGCGTGCCAGTTGAAACCTACAGTGAAAAGGTCAAGCCGCCGGAGCCCATTCCTTCTGGCGGGACAGAGGATCAGGCCAACCAGTACGTTCCTCGGAACGTGTTGCTTGCTGCCATTGCCCAGCCCTTCGTCTTGAAGGTCAGAGGGTTTGTTTTGAGTGTGGTGGACCAGTTAAGCCGGGATCCCTGCCCGTGTATTCCTTGCCAAAGTCAAAAGCACGTCGAAAGACGTCGCCGGAGCTCGACGGGTTCAATCGCGACAATGTTTCCGCATGTTCGCTAGCTGCTATCGGATTGACACATCGTTCAGCAAGGATCATGGATTGCCTCAACATGCCCACTTGCCAAATCCTGGTCGTACCACAACGCACAGGCGTATGACTATTGGCTCTAACGCTTCTGTGAGCCAAAACACCGACTACCGGTGCGATGACGCTCCTGTTGGCTTTACATGGTACGGCTGTACTAAGCTTGCAGGACTTTGTCAAGAATGTGGCACCTCCACCTACGACGTGCACCTCCAAAGATTCGGCGCCACGGTCAGGTGGATATTCGCGGAAATGATGCGGCAACCGTTTCCAATGATGTCGCGTGATGATCTGGAGTGTGCAGCCAATGCCGTTGAAGAGGCTGAAGGCGATGCGAGCATGCCCGCCGTGCTCGGCCCAAGTATGCCACCCATCTCCCGGGAATCTCCCGCCAGGTCAGGCCGAGAAGGGAACAGGCAAAGAAGGGAAAAGGCAAAGGAAAACACAAGGGCACAAAGGGGACCGGCAAGCAGTCCACAGGTTACAAACGCCAGTCGAGAGACGAGGCCGGTGACCGCAATTGGAACTGGGATGGCCGCGATTGGAACGCTGGTCTGGGTGGAACAACAGGTTAGGAAGGCAGGTGGCGTTAATCCCAATTACAGGGGCCCGCATTTTTCAGTGGCAATAGAGGATGTAGCTCTCAGTCAAGTTCACCCGGTGGCACGGAAATTCTTTGAATCTCTGTGCGGCGAACTGAAACGTAGCTACATTGCTGACCCGAGCGATCCTTTCCACAAAAGTTGTGTTGCATCTTGACACCAACCTCAGAGGCACCTTTTCCTGGTCGCGTAACATAGAGCTGAACCATGATGATGCGGGAGGCAACTCATCCATCCTGAGGCTGGTCTCACTTTGCTTTCCATTGTATGCGACCGTGCCTTTAGTTGAGGGGGGTGTTGTTTTGCATCGTACCAAGCGTAGGATTCTATGTGACCGTGTGCAGTCATCATGTTGGTCAGACCGCAGCGGTTGAACTCAAGCCCTCTGAGTAGAAAAGGGATGGTTGCGTATTGGTCATGGCTTAACGTCTTAACGGCGTACCCTGTAGATTCGAAAAGTCTGTGGGAAGAGAACTACATGCACACATGCACAAAGCACGAGAGCAGCAGCAGTCGCGAAAGTGCATTCCCAGCGTCATTTGGGAAACACCTTAAGGCTTAAGGCCCCACTCACTCCTTCAGGGCTTCGCCCTCGCACTCATTCGACAAGACTTGAAACGACAGACACCCTGCGACTTCAGGAGCATGAACTTGCAGCAGTTGTCGGGTTGCCAGCAGATGCAGAGCCACGTCCAGACCCGAGGTATGTTGATCCTTTGGATGAGGCAGATGCACCCAAAGCTGCACCCAAGAAGGTGGCTGGGAGGGTTAAAATGTTGCAAGCGACACAGAGAGCAACTGCTGAAGTCTATCCGATCATGGCTACTTTATCTCAAAAGCTCTTGCTTCCTACCCGCTCCCCCTTCAAATTCTTCTGTCTCAGGGCGGCAAGTCTTCGCCGGTACCCGATGAGGACGATGGGTTTGGGATATGGATTTCCCAGAACCCCGTTCTGGGCCGCGCATGTTTTAGCAGGCATGGTTGTGCGTGATGTTCTTCGAGTCGACCTTGACGTTGTGTTTCCTGTGGCAGCATGGTTTATGATTGATTGGAGCATTGGGGCCCACAGATAGATGGTTATTCGTTTGCAACAGAGTTTCGGTGCTTCGATGCTGCAAAAAGTTTCAGGAGTGAGAGCTGCGCAGTGGGGGTCGCTCGCAGCGGTCTTCCGTCTTGCACAGTGTACGCGAGTTTTTCAAGCTTTGGTCTGAGTTCAAGATTGATTTTGCAGTATCCGACCGTGTCGAATGTGGACATGGGTTGTGTGTCTTGAGCCAAGGAATGATGCTGCCTGTGTTCGTACTCGGGGCGAGTTTAGAGCCCCATTCTGAAACTCCACACCTGCCGCTCGCTGGTCGCAACCATCAGCCCCAAGCCCGAACGTCCCAAACTCCATGTTCTAGACTGCAAATCCCAAACCACAAAATCCTAAACCCGAGACCAAACTCCAAACCCCAGACCGGGAACCCCGCGGCCCTTCGAAAGGACGCTGAGCCTCCCAATCCGGGCGTCGAAGAGCTGGAGGGCCGCATCGAGGAGGGCGGCCGGAGTATCATTGGAGGTGACCTTTGGGTCAGGGCTTTTAGGGTGTAGTTTGTAGGGGCTGTGGGCTTTACTTCAAAGGATCATGGGCTTTAGCAGCTGGGGTCCTAAATGAGACAACTATAGCCTCAACTACTTATGACCTTTGGGTCCGCCAGGGTTGCGATGTCTTTCAGGTACTGACGAGTGGCTCCTCCCAGTGCACCTGCAGCCTGCGCTGTACTGGTTGAGGTGGGTGAACTCAGATCCACAAGCCGCAGCCAGAAAGTTCAGCGTCCCTAGGACGAATCAAAGGCAAGCGAGTGTAAAGCAGAAACGGAGGTTGGAGGACGTGACGGAGCTGGAGGGGAGCATCTGGCCACGGCTGGAGCCTCTAGAATTACCCTTCCGCGTGGAGTGAGAGTGCGCTTGGGCTCTGCCAGTCTCACTTCAAGATTACGCTTGATGATAATTCTAGGTATGCTGGTTGCAGCGGTTTCACTCAAGGGCTCCGGGTGGGCGAAATGTGTCTACTGATGACCGGAAGCTCGAAGCGTTGAAAATTGCATGTGCTTGCAAGGCAGGTTCCACCGACCAGGCAATACTGTGCGGTTGCGTACATGCCTAGTTCTATCCGAGAGGATTATTTGATTTTTGAGTGAAAGTAGGTTCGTATGACTGCGGCTTGTGGCTCGTTGCTTAGCCAGCATGAAGCTGCTGTCCAAAAGGATGCGTCGGAATTATGCATCTGGGCAGCACAAGCCTCTGGCATTTCTACCTCTGCCTCGATCTCTCAGGCTTGAATGCTGCCTGGACCCTCGTTCATAACAACCCATAGGACAAAAAAAGTAACATGAATAACAATACTGCTCGTATGTGGATATGATAGTCCTTTAGGATAGTCTTGATCAGAGGCTTTGGATGCGTCCTCCACCTCCGGTGGCGATGGGAAGCCTGTGCAAAAGCAGCTCGGACCTCAAGCAGGGTTTAGGATCCTGGGCTGACGGAGTTGTTTTGAGGGCAGCCCAGGTTGCAGGACCGTGCTATTGCTTTTTCCAGGGACTCCTCGGGAGGATCAGAGGACTTCGCAGTTCAAGTTTAAGGCTTTTTAGTAGCTTAGTTGAGGTTATAAGCAGTAGTCCTCTAAGCCCCAAACCCTAAACCCAAGGTATCTCGGGCATCAAAACGGGGTCGTGCCAGTAACACACCAGGTAATGTTCCTTCTGGGAGCTCCTCGGTATCGAGACCCCAAAGTTTTGGGTCGAAAACCCTACTAGGAGGAGCAGGGGACGAGGATAGCAGGTTATAAATACCTTGAATGCGGCTATAAACAACTATACTTTATTTATCACCCTACTAACTAAGTCCCAGCATCCTGAAATTGAACCCAAGGAGCCCCCCAAAGCCCTTGGCCTTACTTCCTGCAAATCCCAGCAACAGCCTGCAACCTTAGAGCTCGTACCTTAGCTCGAAGCTCGTAGCCCTGAATCCGGGATCCTTAACCGTAACCGATGCATGGAAGCTCGGCTGTTGTGGTCTCTGTGTAACCGGATGTGTGAAGGGAGTCAGGGCGAGGGTTTACCGGAAAAGTTGTGCCTGAGTTCCTTGATACGCGAAGCGAAACCCTGCGCCTCTGGCCCTTCTGCTTGAAACCGCTGGAAACAGGGTCCGGGTGGCAGCGCCGGAGAAAGCAAAGGCTGTGCAGCTCTCGGAGTCATGTCGTTTTGGCAGGAGATGGTGACAATGACAATGACAACGGTTGTAGTGATATGTGATGATGATTGACGGCAACCATGACGGATAGGACAGCGATCACGAGGATGGGGACAGCGACGGCAAATGACCATGAGCACGCTCTTCACGACTGTTATGATGAAGATGGTGAAGAAGATGATTCCGATGATGGTGTCGACGAGACTGTGTTGGTGATGATCACGATCATCGCAATGACGGCTATGGCGATGCTGCTTGTCATCATGTTGTTGTCAGTGATGATGATGATGATGTTGTTGTTGTCGTTGATGATGATGTTGAGTATGACAAACCCCCACCATCACCATCAGCACATATCAGCACCACCACCATCACCACTATCGTATCAATCATCGTCTTCAATTGGTGGCAGGTGTGTCTACTATTTCATGGCAACGAACCCTGAACTGCGGAGCGTAAGCGAAGTTTGGAGATCTCGGAAGATTTGTGGAGATTGGTCGGTTCGATTGCTGAGCGTGCTGCTGCGACTCGCAGCCTCAAGGTGCAGTCTTCGAATCCTAGACCATCCCCCGCAGGCGCCCTATACCAAACACGATCATCAGCTAGCCATAAACCCCAAACCGTTAACCATATGAAACAAAAGGGCTCGTATTTGACCATGATCCGTCGATGCTGAGGCGCCCACGAACTACGACGAGCTGCAGCGCAGGTGATCGCCCCCCTGTCCCGATACCGCGGGAAAGTTGAGTCCAGTGCGAGGTTGCCGACTTCGGTTTAGAGTCGGGTTCGAGTCATCGCAGATGCTCAGAACTGAGATCTGCTTTGCCGCCAATGCACAGGTCATCTTCAAATCCAAATAACCGCTGTTGCACAAGAGCAGAAAAGCAGGACGCTTTTTCTGGGTTCTTGTTAAGCGAAGTTTCCTATTATGGTAGCTTAAATTAAACTCCTTAACAAGAACCCAATTTTCTGGAGATCTTCATAATCCGCGCATCTCATCCCCAAGCCTTCAAGTCCTTCTGATGCAAGGCCTTCAGCAGTCCGCTCGCAATTATTGCTGTCCGTCTGCTGCCTTCCTCCTTACCACTGTCGCACTATTAGACTTACGATTACTATCAGCACTACTACTGTTACTACTCTTCTTTCTACTGTTGTTACCCTTCGTCTCCCTTCTAACCGGCCAGGAGGCAGATGAAGAAGGGGGTGACGGTGGTCGAGGAGGAGGCTGGCCCAGAGCAACAGCAACTTGGACTTCGGGATTCACGCTCGTTTTTAAAAGGCTTACTGCCACTACCACTGCTTCTGCTTCTGCTGCTGCGACCACTACCACTATTACTGGAATTATTAGTACTATTATTTACTACTACTACTACTACTACTACTACTACTACTAGTACTAGTGCTGCTACTGCTACTGCTACTGCTACTACTCGTACTACTGCTACCACCTCCTCCCAGTCCCACTACTCTTTGTACTACTGCCATTTCTAAACGAGAGCTGTGCAGATGTTTGGTAGGGGGTATTTCAGTTGAGATCGCCGTATGACTGGTCACAGTTTTCATAGCAAAGCAACAGCACGTGCTTAGGCCCAAAGCGGTGCTGTTTGTTTCTTCTTCATAAGCCTTCCCACTTAAGTCATCAGCCAGTATCCGAAGCTTAAAGGTTTTAGGTCACACAATGGCAAGCGAGACGATCCGACCCTAAACCCTGAACCCATGGCATGCGCGACAGTTCGACCTTGGGAGATGCCGTCATTGGTTACAGGGCGCATCCTGGGGCTTCGGAAGGTTCCGGAGCCCAGTGCCAAGCCCCAAACCTGAGGAACTGATCCTGGGCACTCCAAGAAGAATAGAGTTTATTGTATTATGATTCATAATACTAATTGGTAGTCGTACTATCAATTATTAGTAATAATAGTATGATATGTAACAATACTAATAGTGTTAAGTTTAATCATAATAGCATTCTTCTTAATAGCATTATTATTTTGAATAGTAATAAGAAGCCCAAACCAGGAAGCCCGGAACTCCAAGAACTAGGGTTTCACATGAGCGCCCGATGAAGGCAAGCCCAATACCACCAACATTGCTGGCAGCCGTTGAATCTGGGAAGGCTTTGCTCTCAGGGTTTAGGGTTTTTCGCTTCCTGGATGTCATGTTTTCCCCCGCGCGCTGTCCCGTCCTGAAGATTTCGATGTGCCAAGCAGTCCGGTCTCTACCTCCGACGCCTTGCTGTATGCTGATCCGAACCACGCAACTGGCGTTCTGTCTGAGCATGTTGAGTCTTCTGACTTCGGGCGCACATTCACTTGGTAGTCGCATCTCTGCAGATTCCCAAAACCCCAAAGCCCTCAACCCCCACATGCCTAAACTCCTTGAACCCCTAAACCCCAAACCCTAAACCCCTGAGATGTCTGTCCAGAATGGCTCCCGGCTCCAGCACTCAGGATCCTGAAGAGGAGGCTACGCGAACAAGCCATGCCGACACGTGCCTTGCACCGACAAGGGTTTAGGGTTTAGGTTCAAGGTTTATGGTTTAAGGTTTGCGGGGGAGTTTCCGGGCGCAGGGCTCTCCTCTCCGAGCCTGAGGTCGGGTCGACTTGGCTGATTCCGTGCCTTCCTGGGGCTATCACGGTGCTTGTGCCATAACATAACCCTTGAACTCTAAAGGGCTAAACGCTGACCCTGCAGCCTCTGCACCGTTAAAGGCGTGCCCAGCCGGCCAGATGCACCAAGAAGAACCGAAGCACTTAACCGCTATGCGGCCCTTGCAGGCTGCAGTGGCCATTTCTGGGAGTGATTTTGCAAGTCGCAGCCCTGAACCCAAGAAGCCCGCAGAAACTCTGAATCGCAAGCCCTGTCAACCGGGTTGAGTCAAGGGTCGCCACAAAGTTATGCAAATTCCCTACCGGCTGGAGTCTTCAATGCGAAGACTCGCTTGCACTTCTATTCAGAAGCAAATCAAGAGTGCGGTGTCGCCGGCGTATCCATCCCAACCCCTGTAGCCGACACCTGGAGCTTGGGCTTGCTTCAGTACAGGTTTTTCGAGGAGCTTTTAGCAGCACCTGAAAGTCGAACCTGAGACCCAAAACGGAGCGGTTGAGATTGAGTAACCAAACGCCGTGGCAAGGACCTAAACCCTAAACCCTGCAAGAGATCGGTGGAATGGGACCTCAGTTGGCTTGAGGTTGGAGAAGGGTGACGAGGAACCGCCTCGTCAGAGCCAACTCTTCAGTGGGGTGTTGAGGCTGGACTTCCGTTTTAGGCTTTGGCGGTGGAGCAAAGATCCTGCACGAAGTCAGGCGAGTTCAACCCAGCAGCAAGTCCTGAACTGTACAATGCTGCCGGCAGCTCCGTACGTGCTAGACGAGTGCTTTGTGTATCAGGTGTCGCGACAAGAATGAGCAATGGACATTCACATAGATCGAGCAACTGCTGTCCCAGAGCACAACCTATTGGATTCTGATGTGTTGTCGTCCTCAGTTTCGTGGAGCAGTTTGGTGTCTTAACGTCTTAGCTGGCTCACAACTATTTTCACCACCAATGTCAGCAACATCGTGGTCATTATGACCAACAGCTTCCTCCTTACAATCACAATCATCATCGTGTCATCCTGGTCAAGCGTATGTAGGCCAGCAACATCAGCACCATCATGCGCGATTCAGTCACAGCCGGACGACTCCAAATCTAACTTGCAACGCCTTTGATGATATCACTGTCGTGGTAATGGCAGTGACGACGACGGCACTGATTTATCATAGTGCAGTTTCAACTACCACCTCTTTCTGGTACTGCGACGACGACGACGATTGTGCGAGGCTGCTGCTGCTGCTGGTGCTGCTGCTGCTGCTGCTGCTGCTGCTGTTGGTGCTGCTGCTGCTGCTGCTGCTGCTGGTGCTGCTGCTGCTGCTGCTGCTGCTACTGCTGCTGCCGCTGCTGTTGCTGCTGCAACATCTTACGACTGCAGTGATTTTTGCTGGCACTGCTACATACTGTTTCCATCACCACAATCAAGCCTGCGACAAATGCCACTGGTATACGATATATATATATATGTCTATATATATATATATGTCTATATATATATACACATATGTCTATATATATATATATATATATGTCTATATATATATATACATATGTCTATATATATATATATAAATATATAAATAAATAAATAAATAAATATATATATATATTTATTTATAATATGGTACAGCAGCACACACGACGATTTGTGTTTTGGTAGCATGAGTTTTTGGCTTTTCGGAATCGATTTCTACAGATACTTGTACAAGTCGTTGCGATGGTTCGCGTTTATTCCGCATGCTGTGGAAGTTCCACACACAGGACAAAGACCTCCTGCATAAGGTTTTCTAACCCTCTGAACCCCAAACTCCGGAAACCCACTATACAACCTTTCTAGAAGCAGGTAACCCTTATAGAACCCATTCAGCCCTTAAACGCGCGGGCCTTGGAGGCGGCGGACACTGAACAAGTTTCGGAGCTGGCTCGGCTTATGGCTCAGCATATGACTTTTTGGGTTCAGGAGCAGGGTCCACAGTTGAGGGCCTTGTGAACTGCAACTTATTGCAACACGGATGTGTTTGGGCGTGGTCGTTGTGATGGTGCTGGCGCTGGTGATTCAGGGGATGCTGTGGGGATGCTGGGAGCAGTACGAGAATGTTTTATGAATCATCGCGATCGTAGTGGCAGTAGTAGTGCGGGGTCGTAGCAGTGGTCGTGGTGGTGGTAGCGACAGTGGTAGTGTTAGTGGAAGTGGTCGTGGTAGTCGTCATCATAGTAACTAGTAGTGGTGACGACTCCGACTTCATAAGATTTAGCATCCGTCAGACTGAAGACCGCCTGTAGTTCTGAAGCTCTAACCCCAGATCTAGAAGCCTTCAAAGTCGCCAGCCCCTTATGATACGCCTTTGGGCCCCCCTTACGGCCCTTCCAGCACCCCATATATATATATATTTATATATATATATATAAATATATATATAAATATATATATATATAAATACATATATATATATAGAGATAGATAGATCGATAGATAGAGATAGAGATAGAGATGTAGAGTCCCCTACACTGGCCCCTTAGAGCACCTTAAGAGTTCTCCTTAGAGTCCCCCCCGCGCATGAGGCAACTTTGTGACCCAGAAGAGCTTTGGGCCGGGCCTCTTGGAGGCCATGGACGGAGGCGCCTTGGCCGTTCGCTCCAGCTTAGGGTATGTAGGGCTTAGGGCTTGGGGTTTAGGGCTTGTGGTTTGGGGTTTGGGTTTAGGATTTAGGGCTTAGGGCTTCGGGCTCAGGGTTTATGGTTTTCGGGTTCAGGGCTTAGGGTTTAGGGTTTTAGGATTTTGGAAAGTCTCGTCTCGCTGCGGGCCATGGCCGAGGTTCTTCTGAGGAGGAGGAAAACACCGATCAGAAGGCGGCTGTCAACGACATTTGGGCATCTCGTCTTTGCCCAGGGGGCTAGGAGGTCGGGGTACCAAGCATCTCGGAGCCGACCTTTTGATTTTGGTGTGAGATGAATTGTGGGGATGTGGGGATTGTGAGATGCAGAAATGTTGCTTTTCGGCCTAGAGACGTTTCTTTGTTGGAAAGGTGTGGGGGCTCTTCGGCAAATGCGTGAAGGACAGAAGGGATCATTTGGCCAGCCATGCGTTTATGGATATTTGCTGGCTCATTCTTGTTAGGCTCAACTCCTGATTTCGGTCCCGAGGCCATTTGCAAAGGAATTCGATGTTGATGTTTATGTTTGGGTAGTTGTTGTTGTCATGATCGATATCGTCATGATTGTCGGGGCAGTGCATAGTCTTACTGGTAGCAGTACTATCATTTACTATGATAGACTAGATGCTTTGACCTGGCATTGACAATTGAGGCACTGAAAAACCACTTCCTGGCGGCGTACCTGAACGGCGAGTTGGACATCCTGGACAGGTGCCTGCAGGCTGGAACAGTCTCTCGAGAAGCTGCTGGCTTTCTCAAGGAAGCATAAGATAGGGGCTTCAATAACTAGAAGGGGGCACTTTGGTAGTAGTAGCAGTAGCAAAAGCAGTAGCAAAAGCAGTAGCAGTAGC